TCCCCATGAGTTGGGGGTTGACTTTTCAGCAGCTAGCAACATTCTAGAAAGACACACTCATTTCTTAAGAGATTTTCTGGTAAATTTTCTGCATTTCAATATTGGTCAAGAAAGTATCCTATTTCATCCACTGTCCAATGCCAAACTGACTTGTTTACGCTACTTTTTAACAGCTGTCAGTTCTTAAACACAGCTGAGCAATTTCTCTTCTTACTCCTCTCCTGCTTTCTTATTATCTGCCCATTTGTCTCTGTGGCCAGAGTTGCAAACCTATGCCTCAAAGAGAGAAGACAGAGGAGGGATGGAAGCTGGGAAGGTAGGAACAGCAAGGATGCATTGTCAGGTTAAGCCATTCTAGTAAGCTTGTGCCCAGTTAGGGCCTGTGGTGAGCGAGGCGAGCAGAAAACAGCTGTTCTGTTCTGTGGATCTAAAGATGGTGTGTGGTCTTCTCAACTTCTTTCAGGGAATCATACTGCCCCAGATCATAACTGGAATTGCAGCCAACCTTGTCAATGCCCTCACCAACTATCTGTTTCTCCATCAACTGAACCTTGGGGTGATGTGAGTCTACCCACGATTCTTGGTATAGGGAGAAAGAATCCCTTGCCTGTGGCTATTTTGGGGGGAGAAGAGTGGGGTCTTTGGCTGGTTGGAGATGGTGTTACATGTGGTTTCCTTTCTGGTCTACTCTGGAAACGCTGTCAGGGATGGAGATTTATGTTCCTCTGGGAAGGAAAAGACCTTGTAGGTTGCTGTAGGCTTTACAGCAAGGAATAAACCACTTACTTCAGCACTGTCTTCAGAATGGAGGACAGATATTTCTCTCCTTTTTTCTCTCTCTTTTATTTCTTTCCAGGGGTTCTGCACTGGCAAATATGATTTCCCAATTCACACTGGCTCTCCTGCTCTTTCTCTACATCCTCCGGAGAAAATTATATCAAGCGACGTGGGGAGGTAAGGAATGCCTTTTGTCTTCCCACTTGGACATTTGTCTTGTTGTGTTCCAGGAAGAGATCTGTTGGTAAGTGACCATGTCTCTTCTGACTGCAGGGTGGTCCTTTGAGTGTCTAGAGGACTGGGCCTCCTTTCTGCACCTGGCCATCCCCAGCATGCTCATGCTCTGCATCAAATGGTGGGCCTATGAGATCGGGAGCTTCCTGAGCGGTCAGTGTGAGGACAGGTGGTGAAGACTGATGGGAATAGGGGGCTTTTTCTATAGGTAAACCCTGGTGGCATATTAATTAAAGTACCCAGCGCTAACTGAAAGGCAAAGGTTCGAACCCAGCAGCTACTGCTACATGGGAGAAAAATATGACAGTCTGTTTCCATGTAGAATTACAACCTTGGAAATTGTTTGAGGTATCTCCACTCTGTCCTTACAAGGACATGATGAGATGGAATCAACTCAACAGTGGTGGGTTTTGAGTCTAAGAGCAAAGATCCCTGGGCGGTACACATGGCTAACATGCTTAGCTACTAACTGAAAGGTTGGTAATTTAAGCCCACCCAGCAGTGCCACAGAAGAAGTGCCTGGTGATCTGTTTCTGAAGGATTATAGTCACTGAAAACCCTGTTTTATTATGACATGAGTGGCCTCACCATGAGTTCAGACTTTTGGTGGATTTCTGGTGGGTCTAAGAGCAAGAATTTGATTGTCTTTCACCAGGAATCCTGGGCATGGTGGAGCTGGGAGCCCAATCTGTTGTGTATGAACTGGCTGCCATCGTGTACATGGTGAGTATCTGTGAGCTGATCGTGGGTGACAAGCCTTTCTTACTGACCTAAGCGAATTCTGAGAGTCAGCATCGTTGTTCGTAACATTAAGTAATGAGGTACGAAATGATCTACAAGGTAGATTTCCTCCTGAAGCCTGGGAAGACCCTTTTTGTTAATGGGTGCAAACAGAACATTACTAATACTTTTTAAAAACACAAAGGGGGAGATTGACCACATAAGCATACATCTCAGAATCTTTTGAACCATGCCCCGTTTACTTTGAATTTTTAAATTGTGACTGAGAAGGACACACGGCTGCAGAAGGACATCAGGGAAGTAAGTGCTGGGAGTCACAAGGAAAAGTCCTATGGAAGAACTTGCAAACAGGTGCCTGGGAGGGACCTGAGCCAGTATTCATATGCAAGAGGTTATGCCTGTGTTTTTCCAGAAGAAACAGCACAACCAGTGTACGTTTCTGAAAGAGCTGAGAGACATCATCACGAATCCCTGCAAGGATCTGGTTCCTCTGTTCAAAAGGTTGAAGCTACTGTTTTCATGTTGTAGCCCCAATCAAGCGTAGAAAAACTTGGTAACACAAGACGAAAGAAGAAGATAAGGCAAGATTACCTCTATTTTCTGAAATACTCTTCTTAGTTAATTGGGGTCTTTCTTCTTTTCATTTCTCAACTGAATCAAGATCTAAAATTACGACCCTATAAATAAGAGATTATTTATTGATGCAAAAGCAGTTAGGCTCCCTAGCGAAAGAAGCACTACCGAATTGCAGAGCTCTAGATTGGGTCAGCTCTCCAGAAAGAGAATCCTGCCTGCTTCCCTTCGGTACACTCATATGTATCCATCAGATGAAGTGGTGTCATAAAGCCAATAAGTCAAAGAGGCCTTGTGATGGGCTTTCCTAAACACATTGCAGGTAGAATGTGATGACACCTTAGCCATGCAGGGTGAATGAGGTCATTGTAGGGAGCAGCAGCAGGGCGGAAACCCCGTGTGATGGCAAGTAGGAAACAGAGACCCTGTTGGAGGATGCCACCAGGAAGACTTGTCCTTAAAGAAGTAGGGAAAACTAGGAGGAATCAGAAATGCAGCCAGACATGCTCAGTATACAATGATTTCCATCATGTGAGAGCGACAAGTGAATAGCAGTGACCCTTCCTTCCATCGTGACAGCCTTTGGCTGTATTAATGAATGAGCCAGGTCCCAAACAACTGGAGTGTTCCTTAGGCTGCCTAAATCCATGAATCCTTACGGCTTTGAATGCCAGTGAAAAATGATCAAGTCTTGTGTGCCTGTGTCTTGTAGCCACGAAATGAAAATGGCTCCTAGTGACCAGTGAGAAGAAGTGGTGCCATTTAGTTAAAAGCTAAACGCGGCCTTGGGATGGGCCTTGTTAATCGCATTGTGGATGGAGAGGTATGTCCCAAGTCCTTAGCCCTCCAGAAGTAATTGAGGGAATTTGAGGAATAAAGTGGCAGAGCTGAAGCACTGAGTGATGGCCTGGGAGGAGATGAAGAGGCAATTGGATGTTGCTACTGGCGAGGCTTGCCCTCGGAGTAGCAGTGTAAACGTGGAGGAGTCAGAAATGCTGCTAAGCTCCTCAGTATATAAAGAGTCAGATCGTGATGGAAAAAGTGCAGTGTGTGAATGCCAGATGCCCCCAGATACGTGAGTGTAAAACCTACTGGGGGTATTGCACCCCAACTGAAGAAGCAGGTGTTCCCTTGGTCGAATGCTCCCAGACATACAGGCAGCTCCTATTAGCCATGATTAGGGCTGCAGCAAGTGAAACCTCCCTCACACTACATCAAGCAATAGATCAGGACACATCAACACCCTTCATACAAACTACCAAAACCTTCTCGGTTTATGACTCATACTGATGTGACAAAATCTGTGGTTTCTTCAGGTGACACGGTAAAATTGCCGTAATTTTCTGAAGGACAATTAGGACTTTCTTGGGTCTCCTTGGTTTTTTGTTTGTTTTTGATTTGTCTGGAATTTATTTCCTCCTCTTACTTGAGATCCCAAATTATGACCATATAAATAATAGAGGACATACACAGGATATACACAGTCTCCTTGTTAGGGTGCACGTAGAATGAGAATCTCTTGTCAAACCATTATCTTATTTAAAAGGCCATACATGGGCATGACATATATGGTTATTGCTGCAAAAGCAGTTAGGCTTCCTAGCGAACGAAGCACTACTGAATTACAGAGCTCTAGATTGGCTCACTTCTGCAGAAAGACAAACTTGTCTGTATCTGAGAGAACAGAGATGTTTCTATGTACAGGTACAAAACAACATCAGTCATATTCTAGAATGTGGCACCAATTAAATAACAGTACCCCATCATTAGAACTCTCTTTGGTCTCTTATTGGAACAATTGCAGAAGCAACAAATTCCTGACACAAGCATAGACTATTAGCCATACCTTGGAGCAAACACTTCCAATGAAATCTTAAATAAGGCTCCCTATTATTAATAGTTGAGACACTGAAAGCAAATATTTTTCTATCATCTGGATAGTATAAAGGATAGCATGAAAGCAATCCTTAAGATCTATTACCGTCGACTGATAAGTTAAAGGAATACCTGTAGGACTTGGGAGACCAGGTTGTAGAGGTCCCATGATCTCCATAGTCTTATTCACAGCTCTAAGATCCTGCAGGAGTCGCCATGTTCCTGATTTCTTCTTTACAATAAATGTTGGTGTATTCCAAGGGCTATGACTGGCCTCTAAAGGCCCTGCGTTCAATTGTTCTTGGCCGAGGGCCTTAGCAACACTCAATTTCTCTTCAGTTAGGGGCCATTGGTCTACCCACACTGGGTCATCAGACAGCCAAGTAATCTTTGCTGCAGTTTTCTGGGTAGGAGAAGCAACTGAGCCCTTAGGAAAAATCCTGAGCAGATTCAAATCCTCAACCTTGCTTACCAAAACAGGACCTAGGTTGTATGCGTTCACGCCGCCCTTTTCTTGGGTCAAGTCTTTGTTGCAGCATTTGTGCTGTAACGTTTGAACTAGGACTGACTAATAAAAGTCCTGTATTTTCTACGATATCTCTTTCCCATAAATTGACAGGGAAATTGTCTTAAACATGTGATGTAAAAAACCTGCATTCTCCTCAGGGTCCTCCCACTTCAACAAATGAGACCTTTTACTGGGATTGGTCACCTACGAGCCTTAAGGTCAGCAGTTCGAAACTACCAGCTGTTCCATGGGAGAAAGATGAGGCTTTCTGCTCCCGTAAAGATTTCCAGCCTCGGAAACTCACTACAGGGTCGCTATGGGTCGGAATCCACTCCACAGCACTTAACAACAACAGCTCTCTTCTGGTGAGGCTCAGGGGCCTCCTTACAATACTTACCAGCATTTTCAAAGGCCAATTGTTTCACTAGGAACTGTCTGGTCTGGGCATGGGAGATAGTCAGTCCCACTGCTTGTAACAAGGCCAGCTACAAACTCCTGAAAGGGCTCTTCAGGACCTTGTGTGATGATAGATAGGTCCAAAGATTTTTCTCGCTTTGTGGGTAGTTCCTTCCAAGCCCTT